GCCTGCACCTGGTGAATTTACATACCAATCTCTCTGTAATAGAGTTGTGCACACCTGTGTGCACACACACAAAACCCCAGTCTTTTTGAGTTTTCCAACAAAAATGTTTTATATCTTCCCTTGTGAGGATATTATTTTCAGTCCTAATTCTTGACTTTATCGATGAAAAATTCATCACAAAGGTTGGGACTGTGCATCGATATGTGGGTACGTGTAGGTACGTGCTCATGTATGTGTGTACACACACACACACGCACGTACACACATGCACATCGATTGGCTCTCCCGACATGATAAGGGTCAGATCTGCGGAGAGAATCCAACAGGAACACCATCAGGAAGTTGGTTGAAAGCTGACTCCTCCCCGGACAATGGTAGGTCTCACTTTAGGAGTGCTAAAAGCACGTGGGGCCCAGAAATGTGCTTTTTCAACAAGCTCATCAGCTGTTTCTGTGAGTGCATGAGTATGCACACATGAACGTGTGTGTGCATGCCTGCATGCGAGGGACAGCGAAGTGCTCTGTAGAAACAGCCTTCCGATGCCATCATAAATAATCCAGGTTGTCAGGGTATTGGGTGAGACATTGGGATGGAGATAATGGTTCTAAGTTCATTGAATCATATCTGCGATGTTTTATTTTTATTTTTTAACATGGAGGAGGTCTTACCATTTAATTCAAATACTGTTGTAAGAGAAAAAATACGGTTGGGATCAGGCTGTGACTACCTCCCAGGCATTGTCCGCATAAAGCTTAATAGTGGCCTCTGTGTATACACAAAGCATGCACATCACATGGGGGTTCCTTTGGGCTTGTTTGCTCATGTCCTCCCAAACACACACAGGTGGGGGAGGGGGCAGGTGTCAGGCACTTGCATCCACTGGTCAAGTCTTTTAACAAACCTTTTCACTTCGGCCATCATTTTAATTTTCTTTACATTTTACATAAAATGTATAGGCTTATCTTCATTTTGGAGAAGAGCCTGGTTTGGGAGAGCCTAACATAGGCTACTGCTTTTGTTATCTAGACTTGCATCCCTGTATTTGTACAGGGCAGGGACTCCATTATGAATCAGCATTTTAGGAGATAATTATCACCCTTCTCGCCATGTGCCAAGATAAAGCTGGTTAATTCATTTTTAAAATTAATATATCCTCCCATATTCTGAAAGGAGAGAACCAGAAACCTAGGCTTGACACCACCACCACCACCATCAGTAATGGAGCAGAATTTTTGGAAGAGGGCATAGGCTTCAGCGTCAGGCAGATCTTCATGTGGACCGTTCTTCCAGTAGTCGCTAGGCATGACTGGGCAAATCATATGACCTGTCAGTCCTTCTTGTCTTCATTTATAAAATACTATCTTCCAGGAACTTTCATCGGGCAATAGAAGTTGGTGTGGACCTGCACAGTCCTATGCTCGAGGAGTTTACAGAAAAGGGACCACTGGATATACTTGAAATGGAGTAATTAATACTAGGAAGACAACCTACATCGTGGAAAGAGGATTGGAGAATGAAAATCAGCCTTTGGCATTTAGGGTAAGAGTTCTCATTTCTAAAGTTGAAAGCTAAAAGCCCTCCGTGGGCCAGGAGAGAATACATATACCCCACTCCGGTTAGGATGCCCCTTCTAGAATGTCGGAACTCGCCGCTTGCTTGATGTGTGACTTTACATCATACATCGTAGGAGCTTACAATTCTGTCACGGAGACAGTCTCATTTATTCTGCACAACGTTAAGAGGTAGGTGCTATCACGATCCTGAATTACAGAAGAGGAGACTGGGGCACAGAGCTTTGGTTTAGCTTGCCCTGGACTCTAGCTCGCAATTGACTGGATCAGGCTTCAAACGCAGAAGTGCTTCTGCACCCTAGATTTTGTTTAGTCTTTATATGTGTTACCAACGTGATAGGGATAGTAAGACAATTAAATGAGATAGGATTAAGATAGTATTAAGATACCTAAATGGGGTCGTGATTCAACCCTCCTGGCAACATTATTCAATGAAATAAGGCGCACAAGAGCCTGGGCAGGATTCTTGGCTCATGGTAAGCCCTTGGGAAATGGATACTCTAGCCCTCGTGCTCATGTTTATTTTTTCACCCATGCCTCCCCGCCCCCCAAAACTATTAATGAGTTTTGTTTGAAATGCACAATTTTTGGCGACATTTCCCTGCTGGGGAATCAGTCTCCTGAGTAGTGGTTTCTTTCTTAAACATCGCCGGTTACTTCTCTAGACTTCTTTGGAAAGATGAATGCAGAAGGAACGCCCGCCGAGCCCCGTGGCCCAGTGCTCCTGCAGGAGGCGGCTGGGTCGGCCACGGGCACGGGCAGCCTCCCACTCACCCCGTCACCCAGGCAGCACCCACCCCCCCCAGGCCCCCCGTGGGCCCAACTGGGGCCACGCGTGTGCATGTGGACTCTGCCGTCCCCAGAAACGCACGGAAGCAAAAGGACTCAACACCGACTCGCAGGTACCTTTTCAGACTAAGCTTTTATTTTTTGATATTACAAACCAGTTTTTCTTTATTCACAAACCACTGTAAGTGATATAAACACTAATTTCTAAAGACAGATATACACGTTTTCTGGGTTTGCAGATTGCGTGATGTGTGTGTTAAGAAGTCACTATATGCCACACATATTTTTTTCCATAATTCATAATAGCAATAGTTATTTAGATAAATGAAAACATTCCAAATAAATACTGTTTAAAAAAATCCAAAATGTTCGTTTACATCTCTGACATACATTTTAAAATGACTTATTGGCATCTTGGCGGAGTGCCCGGATGAAAGGTTTTTGCAACATCATGTGGCACTCACTTGCTCCCAATGATTTTATTAAAACTACATACAGTCATGGGGGAAAGTACAGCTCATTGATGAAAATCAAAACTGCAAATTAATTTTACTTTAACCAACACAGTAAGAATTCTATGTTTGTGATTCCAAATACACTGCAAATTCTGGATTTTTTTTTTTTTTTGGAGGCCATCGGGAGAGAGCTTTTGATTCTCCCGAGCCCCCTGTCCCTTCCACGTTTCTCCCCTCCGGGGGCAGGATGCCGGAGCATTTTAATTGAGTGTTTTCTTTGAACACACCCACCGGGCACCCATGGTCCTAGCAGGGGCCTCCAGGTGGGGGATTGAGAATGTCTCCGGTGATGCTATAAAAACAGCCCCTCCCTCCCCCACCCACATCAGTCTGCTGAACAGAACATCTGACATGCTTGCTTTTGGCTGCTAAGCAGGTTCCCCCCTCCCCCCCTCCCCCGCTCCTCTCCAGATCCTGAGCATCTGTCTTAGATATCGAAGCTACAGAAACTTTGTTTTCAAATCTTGTGAAACTTTATTGATGGTTTAATATCCAACCGATCTTACTGCATGCACATAGGATGACAAGAGAAAGCTGGATCACAAACACTTTTTTTTTTTTTTAAGTTTTGTTTGGTTTTGTTTGAAAGCAGAGTTGTTAAAGCAGATTGGCAGGTTCACAGCGGTGAGTTGATAATTGACTGAAGGGCGTGCCATAGGACCTAGCTGTACACAGGGAGACTGACCTATGGCAGCGAAAACTACTGGAGGCGGCTGGCCGCTGTTTGTTTGTTTTTTTATTTAAATACAAAAACAGGAAGACCCGTGACAGATACCCCAACTTAGGTTAACTTGTAAACAGGACAACATGGAAAGAGTTCAAACAGAAGGAGTACAAACTGCAATTTTTCGGCTGTGTCACTCTGGCCCTGCTGCTGAGGTGGGTGGGGGGGCGGAGCTTTGTTCTTGGGCAGGGGGGCAAAGAGGGTGGAGCCTACTTTTTTTTTTTTGCTTCCTTCTGACAAGTGTCCTGGGCCTTGGAGACAGAACTAAAGATACTGGTTTGAGAGAATCCTTGGGGACCAGGCGGAGGAGGAGGGCCGGCTCTCACGGACAGAAAAATTGCAGATTGCTCACACAACACAGTCATGTTTCAAAAAGTACCAAGCTGATGAAAATACCATGATTATCTCTACTCAATGATTGCAATACTTGTAAAATGCTTCTATAAATCCGAATATGATTATCATGTAATTCCATAAAAATTATACATCTGTCTCTAACAGTTCTACTTAGGCTAAAACTAAAGCTTCATAGACTGTTTCTAGAACTTAACAACTCCACTGCACAGATGTAAATTTTATACATTTTTTTTTAACTGGTACAAAGAATTTAAGTTATTACTTTCTTTTTTTGGAAAAAAAGAAAAAAATAGAAACAGTGCTTTTTATCACCTTTTTATTAATGTTATTTTTTTTCCCTCCCGTAATATAAAAGTCAGCAATGATATCAATAATTTATTATACTGGAAGAAATATAAAAAGAATGCTTGTTGATGGCCTAACTACCAGTTTTTGCCTAAATAACTAGCGGCTGGTTGAGAAGCTGAATACTACCAGGTGGAATGGTTTAAAGGGTGGGTTTGCACAGCTTCATTCAACTTGGATGCACAAAGTGCTTTTAGAAGCACCCCTTTAACAACATAACCTTTGGCTTGAACTCAATGAGTAACTTAGAACCGCTGACATGATCGTTGGTGCAGTGGGTCGTTTGGATTCGTCAGTTACTATTTTGTGTTTCCTTTTAACCCAAATCCCAGTCCCCATCCCCTAAGACCCTCCCACCCTTCCCCCGCTCGTAAAATAAAATAATGCAGATGCAGAAAAAAATGACTATTGTAGTCACTTACACTCTTCCCGGACAGCTGATAACCCCAGTAGCTTAAGATTCAGCATATATAATTCATTTACATGATATAGCACTCTGGATATGGCCCTAAACCAGTTTTTATTCATAGCTAGCGTCTCTCTATTTCAACCACAAAAACTCCTACAGCCAGCAACCAAACTACGGAACCTTCAGAAATTAAAGACCCACAATATTAAAATACACAGAACAAAATATCTGAGGTATAAGATAAAAAATGTAATTTTTTTCCTCTTTTTTTTTTTTTAATTTTTAGAGCTGCTAAAATGATGTACTACTGCGTGTATTGCAATACCCAGGCCTCAGAAAGCTCCTCTCTCCCCACATTGGAAGGTTTTAATGGTTTTGTCATTTAGTATGGAGCAAAACGGTTGTATCCCCCTCGGTATATACTAGCCTGCAATGAAGAAAGAACGAGACCCACATCATCAGCATGGCTCCTAGTCTTGGCATCAGTCAAGGGTGCAAAAGCATTCTGAAACAAAGCAATTTGAGGGGTGTGTTTTTTACATTTTCCTTTTGCAACACGTGGATCATCAAAAAAAGACTAATGTGAAAAATAGACACTCAAAAGCAACCAAAACGGAGGCACCCCCTACCCATCCCAGGTCATTCTCGGAGAACTAACGGCAGGACCAGGCCTGACCTCCCCCAACGGCTCTTTCTACAGAAAATCCCTGCAAGACCAAATTCCGTCGGCCAGTCCTGCTGGAGAGAAGGACTCTGACACGGGCTGGGCAATGGAAGGGTTTTCCCTGTCTCATTTTGTTTGCTTGTTTGATTCATTAATGCGACATTCCGCCGGGCAAAGCTCAGGCTACACTCAAGAGGCCGAACGTAGACAGCTGATGGGATGCAGTGATTCAACTCTCCTTTCCAACACATTCCTCAAGCGGGCTAGGTGTTGAGGCAGAGTTGCTGAGTGCAAAATCAGGATGAAAATTTAAATCAACTGCTTACTTGACTTGGCTCAACAACCTGGATGGAATTTGCTCTTGAGAGGGGAGTTTACAGATGAAATGCCTGATGTAACTGAGCTTGTGCAAAATAATACGTTTCCAAATCATGGCTGAATCTCTATGACCAAGCTCCAGTGACTTGTCTGGTCATGGTTCTGGATGGCTATGAGGTGGCACTTAACTATTTCCTTTTTTTTTTTTTTCCTAAAAGTATTGGCGATTCAAATGAATGCCTATGGGGATTTATTTTTAGGATAAGGACTGATATTCTTGATCCCAAGCAGAAAACTGCATGCCAAAAGCTTTGTAATGATTGCATACGCTCTCACGTGATGGGCACGTCTTACTGTACTCAAGAGTTTTAGTGCATAGAAGTTTGAACAAGTACAGGCAAATTCACCCCACCCTCACCTCCCACTTTTGCCCTCCCCCACCCCCACCCTTCCCAAAACAAAAACCCAGGCTCCCCCCCACCCAAAAACAAAAGACAACTCCCAAACCCAGCTGATTCCTTCTAATTCCTTATGTACTAGGCACACACACAAAGTGTGCCCCTCTCTCTATTTTCTTTCCTGGGCGACTATGACTTTAAACATGAATTGTAATAGGGGAGGAGAGGCAGTCAGATTCTCAGCTGCCTGACAGCAGAGGCCTGGAAGTGTGCAGCTTAGCTCCTCTGAAGTCTGTGCTGGGGCTGGAACCTTGGGGCTATGTGAATGAGCAGCAAGGGAGGGAAAAAAAAAAGAAAAAAAAAAGTTCTGCATTGACACTGCATTCTGTTAGTGATGGATTTAATTATCAAAATGACTAATTATTCCATTAAGGTAAGTGCTCTGCTAGGTGAGACTTGCAAAATTAGAAATATAATAACTTACATGCACTACATTGCCAAGAAATTAAGACATTTATCAAGTTTACTGGGAGGATTAATGTGGCATTTTAGCTGCTGTTAGCACAAGAGACAAATTCAATTAAGGGAAAGTGCAAGGACGTCAACCGTCAACCCATACTAAGGCCCCAGCTGGGGGAAGGGGAGGGGAGGAGGAGGGACTGGTACTCACCATGGCACCAACGCTGTAGGTGGGGGCTGGAGCAAGTGTGTGGTGGTAGGGGTCGGCAGCATAAACTCGTCCGTAACTGGAAGGAAAACACGGGTGAAGATTAATCCATAATATGGAATTACAAAGTCATAATCACAACCATAAAATACAAAAATACCAAGACAGTGGGGAGGGGCCCTATTAGTCTTCAGAGACAGGGAACACGTTCCCATCTGCCACATAACATGAGAGAAGTCCAACTGTGTCCAACACATTCTTCTGCCCATTTACTATTGCCGGCGAGATAGTGCATTTTCCTGTCTCTTGTAGGACCGTGTCTACACTGCTCTTGGGGCTACCACGGAGCCTGAGGTAGGCAGAAGAAACAACTTGAAAGAGTGGTTTTACGAAGCCCGGTACCCACAAAGAACATGTCTTTTATTCTCAAGAGAGACGGTCTTTTCTCCTAATTTAGCTGTTACCAGTCAAGCAAGACAAGGTAGGTCACAAAGGGTAAAGCGGCCCAGTCGGTGCAGTTAGGGTCTGACATCTCAGAAGAGAAAACAACAGATGTCCTTGAACAGGAGGACCGTTGAAGGGTCTGTAGGACCTTTTCCCCCACGCCCCCCCAACTCAAGAATTAGTCTGATTTGATTTTGATCCTATCACCCCAGAACTTCTACCTCATCCATCAATGGTCGGGTTCTGAGAAGGGACACGTTTTGAACAATATTTCTTGAGGACGAGATCTCATCTCTGAGTTCTTCTCTGCCTGTCTCCCATCCTTCTCCCTCCACTGCCATGCCTTCCAGTACAGGCTTTGGAATAAAAACAGAGAGATGGATGCCTACTGAATGTCTGGGACTGAATGCAGCAATAAATCAGAAATCAAGGTTCAGGGAGTTTAAGTTACTTGTTCAAGGTCACAGGGCCAAATGGAGTCAGAGCTGATCCCTGAATCTCTCAGGGCACCCTGTATGCTCTTTCCGTGGTGTCTAGCACCCTTACTTGAACGACCTGCCAGATACCTTCTTGGAGACAGTTTGAACACTGGCCTTTTGGTGATGATCAAAGCTGAGGTGCACGTTAAGCTAGGTTAGGTTCCCTGGAAGAAGAGTCTGAAATGGAGATTCTCATGCACATGCTTTGTCGAGGAGTGCTTTCAAAAGGAGGGCAGACAGGCAAGCTGGCTGCAGAATGAGAAAATGGAGAAGCAAGGATATGGTTTGAGCTGGAGACTAACTTCTACCTGACCCTGTGAACCGTGCCCCAGAGTTGATCCTACCTGGAGACAAGTGCATTGGTTTTTTAATGCCCAGGGAAGTTAAGCGTGAGCTATGGGCTTCCATAAGGAATGGAGGATAACTTCTGGGTTAAAATGACTCTCTTTGGCAGGGGGTAGTTCTCTGAAGGAGGGAGCAGCTATGCGCCATTAGCAGCCACTGCTCACAGCAGCTGGGGGATGAGGGTACCGGCCACTAAATGGGCTATATGTCCATTATCAATGGCTTGTGACTCTTGGACTTTCCTTTAGGGAATGAAGGAACAAGGTGGGAAGAGATGGTTTGCACTGTCAACCTTAAGCTCACCTCCCATCTCTTAAAGTCTCATTTGCATGTATTTATATTCCTTCCCTGTCTTTCCCCCATTTTCCTTCCAATCTTCTTTCTCATGATTGGAGGATAAGAATGTACTAGATGGACGTCGTGGAGTCTGGGACAGTGGGAAGAAGCTTGGGTGAAGGTTCTTTAACTCTTAGGGTCCAAGTTAGACCCCAAATGGAAAAGAAATATTTGATTATACCAAGTTCTCATCAGCTGTGTCTAACGCCTCCTTGCCTATCTCAAAGGTCACTGAGCTCAGGTAACCTAGCTGAGGCCTTTTGTTTCAACACACAGTATTCTCGTGATCCGCCAAAGCAGGGACATGAATAGAGGTTTCTTTTTTGACGTGACCCTCTCAGGGGAACTAACCCCCCTTTGGTCTTCATTCTTTGGGACACCCTTGAGTGATCTGGCACAATCAGATGGCTTTCAGTTCACAATGCTCCCTCTCTCTGGGAAGAAGAACAGATGTAGGTCCAAGCCAGAGGGAGTGTCAGAAGAAGGAGGAGGATGAAGTTTCTGAAGAAATCTTACAGTCACAGAGGTCAGCCATGAAAGTTGGGCCTCTGCCCACATAACTAGAAGTAGAGGTGAATAGCGGTAAGAGGACATGATATATGACTGTGGTGCTGATTTTCATTTTGTGAGAAGAGAGTCTGTCATTGGTCTAGAGAAAAAAGAAACCACTAATAGGATTATTTTAATGCACTTTCACCCAGCAAAGCTGGTCTTATGAACAAGACATAAAATGCAAAGATAAACTGAAAATCCTTGAGAATTTAGTAAACGATGCCAGAGCATCACTTACGATGATATTCCTTCAAAACAAGTATGAAAATGCCCATTTCAAGAAATGAATTTTTTTAGAATTCGGGGAATGGTTTTACTGTGGCAAAAATTTCCTTTTGAGGAGATAACATATTGGTAGTCCGAATGTATTCAATGAGAACGTAGCTCCCACCTCTTCCCTCCATATACTTTAATGGCAAATTCTTACTTGCCTATATAACACTGGGCAGAGCTTCAACCTTTGTGGAAAACCCAAGGTAATAATTTGGCAGTATTCTTTTCCAAGGCAGAAGAAAAATACAGCAGCACTGAACTATTCCTCGTAAATGAGCAGGCTCCTTTTCTCCTCGAGGTGACCTCTACCTTCAGAATCCGATGGTTTTATTATGATTAATAAATTTCATTTCCACAGTGGAAAAGGGACCATGTCAGCTCAAACTGAAAGCAAGGAGGCTTCTTTTCAAATGCTAATTTCTAAACACGCCCTTGTGTGACACTACAATTTAGACACAAGGTTATTAGGGAAGACGTGGACTGGAGCGCGGCTCTTGCGGTAGAAATGCCAGGCACGTCGGCGACCTGATGTCCTCAGAGCTGGCTAAGCACAGCCCAGAGGAAAGATGGCAATTCCCAGGGACCTCGATGGGAGTGATGGGGAAATGACTTATGACCGCCATGTTATGAGTGACCTACACGTATCGTCACCCTCCACGCCACCCATCCCTTTGGCAAAGTGGGCAGTGGTGCAGTCAGGTCATGATGCTTCCATGTCCCCACATCCCATCCATCAGAAATTACAGATGAAATCTTCCAGGTGTCTACCTGACTCCATTCATGCTATTACCCCCCTAACATAAGCCACCAGGATTTCATCAGAACCAAATCCACAACAGCCGTAAGTCTTGTCTCTTCGGTTCTACTCTTGCCTCTACAGACTACCAGCCACTTAACCACTGTGGCTAACCCGACTACCATCTGTCTATCCATCCATCATCTATCTAGTTAAATATAAGCCTAAACATATCACTTCCGTGCTTAAACCCCTTCAGCGGTTTTCCGTCGATCCCAGAATAAGACCCAAACTTGCATGAGTTGCCCCTCCTCGTCTTTCAGTCCTCTCTTCCTACTCTCGGCCCCTTGCGCTCCACGCACACTGGCCTCATTGCTACTCCGTGGACACGTGCAAATTCATTTTCTCCTTATCGTCTTGGCACTTGCCTGCCCTTCATGTAACATAGCAAGTCTCTTAACGGTTTTGTTTACTTCTCTCTCTACCTGGTTATTGAGCCATCCCGCCCGTGCCAGGAAGGTCAGCCCCATGGAGGTGGGGCCAAGTCTATTTTGTTTGTCTTCTTTTTTTATCTCCAGCATCCGCCCAAGCACTGGCCACAGTGCAGGTAGACAAAGGGCCAAGCCAACGTCACTGCGCGAGGAAAGGCACCGAGAGGGAGGAGTAAACAGGAGAGAAGACACTTGCACCCATCCTTTGGATTGTGTCAGCAGCAAAGATTCTTCCAGATAGGCTTTCTGAAGATTCTAGGTCAGCTGTTCCCAGAGACATTCAAAACCCTTCAAGACACTCGGAAGGTAAGTTTCTGGGGACTCTGGGCATACAGAGTGTGTAATTGCACCTCACCGCTGAGAGTTCACAGAACACGGGCCAAGATGCCATCACGCTCATCAAAGCCCTTTAGGGAAAAGCCAACCCACCCACAAAATCGAACAGCTTTGCTGGGGACCTCACCGCGGCTTGCGGCCATGCCCTCATGAGCCCACCTCTTTTCAACCTCAGCAACAAGTGAAAACCAGGAGGCCACCCGTGGTGCCAGGGAGAGCACAGGGCAAGAAGATCCAAGTTCAAGTTCTGCCTTTACAATGTCCTTTCTCAAAGACTAGACAAGTGGCTCTCTCTGAGCCTCATTTTCCTGTTCATGAAGTGGTATTGTTAGGTCTGAGCCTTGTCTGATTCATCAAGTGCATGGAAAGAAACCAGGTACATGTTAGAGTCCAAAGCAGTCTACAGATACGAGATTGTGAGGCAGGGGATCTTACACGGAGTTTGCCAAGCCAGGCTCTCACTCCTGCCTAGACTTCTGGTCTGTAGAGGCAAGGGAAAGATTCTCTTCTAACATGATTGCATGTAGCTCTAGCAGTCAACTTACAGATACTTGTGGAGTTAAGCACTATCTAATTTATGAGTTACAGATGTAGTTAGAAGTGCTGTGTTTGAGCCTAACGTTATGTTGGAGTAAAATAAACAACTGTGCTGCCCGTTGAGTGGGAAACGAGAACCTGTATTTGTTAAAGTGCTTCGTGAACTCTACTGACAGATGCAAATATTACTTAAGATCTGAATTTAGTTGAAATGAGCAGGATTATAATGAAATACAATAGAGCTGTATTGGTACCCACACCCGGATTCTAGCATGGGGAAGTGATTTTCTTATAGGGACATAGTAAGAACACTAATTTCAGTCTCTGTATTTTACTCTGTATATCTCAATTAAGAGCCTTTATGCCACCTCAGACCTTATTCTTCCTGTAGCATCACTTCCCCATGCCTCCTGTCCCAGAGATGGTGGGCAAGACCCTGGGGGAGCAGAAAGGGAAGTGAAAAACCCTCACCGCCCCCCCCCCCCCCCGATGAAGTTCCCAGTGGCGTGTAGCTCTCCTGGACAGCCCAACTGCAGCAAGGAGGTCTGGAGGACTGTGCCCCCACCACACACAGAAGTGTTGCAGAGTATGCTTTCTAAAGAGTATGCATTCTGATCCCTGGGGTGTCTGCCCTGTCACCAGAAGCTCTAGTGCCCTCCTAATTATATCCAAGATACAGTCTGAAAGACGTTTGGGAAAATGAATCCATGCCAGTCACACACGTACAACACTGTATACAAAGGGGGTACCATACCATAACCCTGCGGTTCTAAGAGCCTGCTATTTGGAGAGCGATGGTTAAGTTAAGTGATATTTCCCTTCCCTGTGGAGGGTCCACTGAGGTCTGGATCCCAGAATGGCTCACCCTGGTCTGGGTGTCTGAGGCACCCCGTGAGAAGACAGAAGCTAACCTGCCCAGGAAGAGGGCCTCCTCATCCCACCCAGATGTTCATCCCACTTTATCACTCTGGTTTCCCGAGCTTTTCCAATGAAAAACCAAAGGACTGTCAAAAGAAAATCCTTCGGTTTTCATTGCTGCTGGTATAATCCACTGATTGATAGGTTGTTGCTTTCCCCTCATCCAGAAAGAAAGGATCTGGAACACTGTTCCAGATCAGGCATTTTTTTTTTTTTTTTTTTGCGTTTGGGAAAATGCTCTGCTCTTGGCAGTTGTCAGTGGCTGGAAAGGAGCTACAGCTAATACCAGGAAGAGGAAGAAACAGAGCACATGGAGGGTATGTGGGCTTTGGAATTCCTCAGCTCTGCCCTAGCTATTGCATTAGTTCCTTCCCTGATCCAACTGCAAATCAATCCGTTTTCAAACAGAGGGTGTTACAGGCATTTATATTTTCCAACTGACCCATCTCACACTCATCACTAATAAACATGCAGCAGAACATAGTAAGATGCCACAGTCCTTCTGAAAGAGGTGGAGGACTTCTGACATATCCCTTGGTGACTCTGGACTGCAGGATCTGACAGGTCCCTAGGAGGCCGCAGAAACCCTTTCCAATTCCTGGTTTGGGATAGCTTGAGCTATCCTGCAGATGAATGGGTTCTCACTTTCATGCAAATAAACATCTACCGGACAACCAAGAAGGCTCAGGGTGCAAACCCTCCTTTCTCAAATCGTAGAATATCACAACTTCAGGCTGTATAGTCTGGGTTAGCATAATGTACACTGGTTTGAGAAGATCTTAGGATAGAAATGGTAATAATGGCCAAGATTTGGGGCAAATCTTTCAGGGTCATTCAGAGCAAAGACAATGAGTTAATCTCTGTCCACTGCAAAGAGACACGGAACAGCTGGTGCCAATCAACCTGTTTCCACAGGAAGAAATAAGAGGATTCACAGGACCTCAGACCACACATCCTGGATTGCCACAATAGGGGAAAAATCTTGGAAGTATTAGGGTGGGAACCACTTGAATGTACTGGGAAAGAATTTAGAGAGAGATGGGTTAGAAGGGGATGTTCCCATTCACTTTCCTAAGGAGAGTCGTCTGAGGGCTCAGTGGCTCAGTGAACATATCCACTAAGGAAACACTCCTCTTTGACTGCTCTAGCCTGTCCTAGCTTTAGTCTAGATCACAACATTTGTAGACCATTTGTCTACAAGTATATACTTGTAGACCATGGCGGGGGGTGAGGGGGGGTGGGGGGGGCGGTGACCAAGCTTTATTCTAAAAGCTTCTCAAGATACATGGGAGAGGATCTTAACCAGTCCCAGACTCAAAACATCTATAAAGCCACTTCAAATGTAGCAAAACTTCCCCAAAAAGACTCAAGTAGAAATGGAAGAAATTCTCCAAATGAACAACATGAAGGCATCTCAACTTGACTCTGACATTTCTGAATGTTGCTCACTTCCTTAGCCTGGATTTGAACTGATCACCTTCCCCAACCACTTAATACATTTTTCAGCCTCATGTTTTCTCTGCTCAGAACCAGTGCAGAAAACATCTTCTGGACTCTCTAGCTTCTAAACAGGAAACCGTAGAGTTCGCCTATCCAAACTGTCACACATCTGAACTCTGTATACGTAAGTTCACTTCTAACACCTGTAACAGCTATGAGAAACAGACCATTCCACCCATGGCAAATCAGATGGCATCTCTCCGTGCAATTCAAAACTTCTTCTAATTCTGAATCCCAACAGATCAGGTCTGAGATAGGAACCTTGATTCTGGATTCATCAGAGTAGAGTAATAGCCACTACCTGGGAGTTGAGAAGACACAGTAAATCCTGCTTTTGGCCATAATTCCTTCACTCTGGAATGCCTCCTCCAATAAAAGACCCATAGCCATGCTCTCTGTAATGCCAAGCTCAAGGCCATCCTCCTCATAGAAAGGCTGTTTCACCTTCTTTGTGTGTTGACAACTGTTTTACCAAAATCACTAAGAAATCCCCATCATGCTTTGAAATCAACATGGCCCCCAGCTAGGGTTCAGTCTACCGGCGGAACCACAAAGAGTAAGCTCAGAAAGTTAATCTCCTCTCTGAGCCACCTCCTCCATCTGTGAATGGACGTCATGGTGCATTCTGACTGCTTTATAAGGCAGTAGTGAGGTTGACATGAGGGTTACCGGTTACCAGTCAGCGACCAAATGAGTGTCAGTTATTGATGCTTTCAAGGTAGCATTGCCTTCTGTCCCAGATGGGGTCGCCACACTAAAGCCCCTGGAGTACATGTGTCAGAACTACCCCTGAAGTAAGCATCTGGAGCCCCCATACACTATGTAAGCAGATCAAAGATTCTGAGAGGTTAACCAGCAGGGTGAGAAGAACAAGCAAGTGCGCGCGCGTGCGCGCGCACACACACACACACACACACACACACACACACACACACTATACTCTCACTTGGAGACAAAACACAAAGTCAGGATGCACTGCCAAGATCCAGATGATCTGTCACAGTATTTTAATTCCAGGTGAGTATCCCTCACCTCTAAGAGACCAGTTCTTGGGGGCACACAAACTCTTTCAATATTCATTTGACCAAATGAATGAAAATCTAACTCTGGAATGGTACTGTCCAATAAACATATAATGAGCCAAAGATGAGCCATTTTAACTTTTATAGTAGCCATATTAAAAAAGTGAAAAGAGGGGCAATTCATTTTTATATATTTAATCCAACATATTAAAATAGTACCATTCCAATGTGTAACCAACTTAAAGATTATTAATGAAATATTTTACATAATTTTTGTCCTAAGGTTTCAAAATCTAGTATGTATTTTATATTTATAGCTCACCTCAATTTGGACCAGCCATATTTCAAGGGCCCTATAGCCAAATGTGGTTATTGGCCACCATACTGCAAAGCACAACTCTAGAAAAACCTATCCTGTGTTCTCCTTACCACTGAAAGGGGAAAGATTCCTGACTGATCAGCTCTGTAGTTCCTAAAGAATTAGGAGTTACCTGGGAGAACTTGTAAGAATGCAGATTTTCAGGCTCCCTCTCCAGACCTATAAATCAGAATCTCTGGGGCAGGGACATGGAAAAAGGAAATGGATTCTGCATTTTTAATAAGTCCTGCAGGTGATTTTCATGCACTCTAATGTTTGATAACTGCTGTTCTATTTTTTAATTCAAATTCTGCACTGATAATAGCACTCCCTCACTCAGGCTAATTAAGAACTATCTGGATATCTTTAATTTTTATAAGTAAACTCAGAGAAATTTTATTTTTATAGGGTATCACTATTGCCTGTAACAAGCTTTGAACTATGCCTAGTACACGGCAAGCTCTCAATAAATATTATAATTATTTTTACCAAGTTCCTTTGTTTATATGTTCCCTGAATACCCTGCACTCTTCTAATACACATCACATTTTATTGAAACAGACCAATTAACTACAAATCAATTTGCTGCATGACGCCTTTGCTGAATAATCAAATCACCAAAACGTAAGGAAGACAATTAGATAAAGTTTGCCGAAGAATCAATTAGGGGAATGGCCCTTTTGGAAACCTCTAAATATTATCTGAGACGGTATGGATGCGCGAGTGTGTGTTTATGTGCCTGTGCATGCAACGTACATGCGCAGGTTGGGCGGGGATAGGATGGAAGAGGGAGATGACACCCCACGTGGCCATGAACTTGCTTCTAATAATTACTTCATAAAGTATATAGCAGCCCGTTCACAGGGGATTGTTTTGATGGCTTTGGCCATTCATTTGGCCAAGGCTTTTGTGCAGACCCCCACCCTTACCTAGTGTCCAGTACTCATAGAGAACTGGGAGTGTGTCCCCAGGTTGGAGTCCCATGCCTCTAAGACAGTGCCTGGCCCAGTGGAGGAGGCAAGACTTGCTGCCAGACAGAGACCCAGCCTCTACCTGCACCCCGTAAACACACAAGCATGCATACACACTCTCTTGAGCAGGGGGCGGCTGGGATTCAGCAGCCAAAACAGCTAGGTCAAAGTTTCTGTTAGTTTTTAGGGGATGGATTATCCATTTTTAGCCACTGATTTTCAGCAAAAGAAAGATTTTTGGAGAACTGACCCGGAACACACATTGCTTGTTCAACCCTATCTCCCGGAATACACAGGATGCTCCCCAGCAAGGCAGCTGCTTCCCGTCATCACTCTGTCCCTGCACCTAGACTAGTCCCCAGCACGTCAGAGTATTCAACACACACCTGCTGCAGGAAGGGGACGCACCAAGTCAAATCAACACCCAGTGGAATAGCCATGTGGAGAGCCGCTTGGTTCCCTTAGGGCCCCTCAACATTTTAACAACTATGCTCCCCGACTCACTAGTTTTTCAAGAGAGCAAGAGGACTCCATCTCGAGGCAAAGGTCAATGGTCCAAGGTCAAAATACAAGGAGCACGTGGGGGCAGTGTGGTCTAGTGGAAAGAACTCTGTCATCAGACAGACTCCATTGGGATTGGGGGCAAGTTACCAAAGTCCTCTGAGCCTGAATATTGTTTTTTCTTTTTTTAACCTCCAAGAGGAGGAGGAGGAGAACAACTATCTCACTGAGCTGATGTGATAAATCATACGTGCATATATGCACGCACACGCACACACACACACACACACACACACACACACACGCAGGTCTCTACGTATACGTACAATTTATCATGCTTGCTAGCGCACAGAATTTGCTCAAAAATGACAGGAAGTTATCGTCACACCCTGGAGAACTCAGCGAAGCCCGTTTGAGGGACCAGGACTGCAGGGATGGAGGGCTCCCGCCTCATGGCGACAAGAAGTCTTAGCACTCCATGGAAATAACTGACGTAGCCTTGGAGCAAGAGGGAGAGCGTGGACATTTAACACGGACTGAACCTCATCCGCTTCGAATCTGCCGGCCTGTTTGTTCTCCGGTCAAAATACAGCCCAAAGCCACAACCGCCTTTTTGGCTCTTCCAGCCCCATCGTCCTAACCCAGGCCCCTGCCACCCCTCCCTGGACTGCTGTAAGAGACTCCCAACTAGTGCTCCCTCTCCTGCTCTTGTCCTTTGGCAATCTGTTCTCCACGATGCCGTCTAACTCATCATTAAAATGATAAGGCAGATCACAGCTGACCCTCCAACGCCTTCCTACCACACTTAAATCTTGAGTGGTTTCAGATTCTCCAAGTCCTCATTTGTCCTGAGCCCTAGCGGTCTTCCTGATTTGATCTTGCAAACTCTTGACTTGTACTCATAAGCTGTGGCCTTGCTGCACATCCTGCTGAGCCTGGCCACCTCAGGCATGCCTCAACCACATGGCATTTGCATCTGCTGCTTATTCAGCCTGAAATGAATCCCACAGTGCCATACCTGGCTCACACCCTCACTTGATTCAGGTCCCTCCCTGTTCAAACGTCACCCCCTCAGAGAGGTCCTCTCTGCTCACTGAACCTAAAGTGACATTGTATCCTATTTTCTCTCCGGCATTATAGCTGTTGTACAACTTGCCATGCAAGAAGATCACATGCCTTTTCATCTACATGTCGGGCGTCTGGTCTCCACTAGAAGGGAGGCTCTTCGAAGGGAGAGGCTTTTCCTGGCTTATTGAATGCTATGTCCTGAGGGCTCAGAACACTTGCTGATACATGGTGATGACTCACTACATATTAATGAACTGAAGTGAATTTCTAGCTGTTCTGCCAAAATCACTAACTTGGTTTTTCAACCTTCATTCGAGTATAAGACCCATATTCTCCTTCTACTACAATCACCAGCCCGTCCTGGAAAAGGTCCATTGAGTCACAGTGGCAGGGAGACCTCGAGTCTGAGAAGGGAAAATCATCTTGTCCCTTTGGCCATCTCTTGCAGGATCCAACTCATGAAAGGTTCGTCATGGTACAGAATGAGAACCCCATGCATGCTGGGGGTTCAGTGCTGCAAAGACTGCTTGCCAGAGACACCCACATGGGCACTTTGTCTTTCAGGAGCAACCAAACCAAACGCAAAACGAAACAACGAATACCAGTGCTAGAGACACTATTGAATAAGAAAACAAATACAGTCTCACAAAGTGCACGTGCGAGCAAGAAAAGTTTCTTCTACGTGGCTAGCAAAAGCAGAGTCAACATTTTGGCATCCTCTCCAAAAGACCCAAGTATAAATCGTCACTTTTCCTCCGGGGACAGGAAGAAAACCCCTTCAGTGCCACAGATCCTACTGTCTGGCGGTTTTCATCTTACCATCTTTACCCCAAACCACCGACAAAACTGGCCAGATCTGCCCGACAGGCAGCTGTGTAAGAATAATATGCCTTTATAAGAATTTCAGTTATAAAATCCATTGAGCCCTCAAAACTGAGATTTTAAGTGTCTCGCTGATTTCTTTCTTCACTTAAAAAGAGAGAAGTTGCCTTTTGTCGAACACTGAAATCCAGGAGATGCCAGGATTCGAGAGACCTGCCCTAAGGAGTGTTGTTCTGCACGTGGGGATGGTGTTGGTTAGGATGGGGGTGCCCCAGGTTCGCCCAGCACCGGGGGAGATGAGGCACTCGGAGACTTTGTTGAAACCATGAATTACAACCTTTGCTGACCGACCGATTCTGATTTTCCATATTTACTCTGTGAGGAGGGAGGACTGGCTGGGAGATAATTTGACATTTGATTGATATGGGTATCTCCTTTTTCATGCTTGGTTCAAAATTCAGAGTTCAAATTGAACCTTTATGAAGCATACAACGTATTATTAATATGGCCATCAAAGCAACAGGGATATCTCTCTCAATTTGAAATCGGATCAATAGCAATTCATTAAGAATCTACTGAGCAGCTGTCCTAAATCAGATAAGGTGGGTGAAAACACTCGCTCTACCCAGGCGAACTTTCATTATCTGTGCCCTCTTTTAGGAATAGTGAATGTAGACCACTTGCTTACAAGGCAGGGTTTGTTAAGTCATGGGACGAAATCAATGTCTACCTCTTAAAGCTGCAACTTTGCAGTGTTTGATCTATGAGGTCAAAATACAACTTAAGATACACGGGGACATGCGTACATTTTAAACGGGAGAGGTAGAGGCGGTAGAAGGCAGCATGTCCACCAATGGCATCTATTCACATTTTAGGCCAACATCCCTCCCCACCCTAGTCAGTTATCCCTTCAGATGCATGCTCCCTTTCCTAGGTTTTGAAGATGCCAACTGTCTCTTGCATCCCAGGAACATTCCCTGCCGCCCCCAGCTACGCAACTATCCACCTTCTACTATTTATTAGTGAAGTGTTAGGGATGTCACCACCTCTCACAGGGAGAAACCGATGTTTGAGGCTAGGAGTTGAGGCAGGAAAATAGGGGAGCCCTTATCTAAGGGGTTTTATAGAAATGGAGTAAGCTGTCGCTTTAAAATATAAGCATGCATACCTCCTGAATTCCCAGGGTAAGACTTTCAGCCATTAAAAATATGGAGACCGATTCTATCAATGAAACTGGCCCTTCCTTTTGCTGGAGACATGTTCCTAGCAAACTGTTCGTCCTTTAGTTCCTTCTCACCAAAGACTCAGTAGGGAGTGAAGCGTTAGCAAACGAGCCTTCATTTACTGCTCCATTGATAAAATGTGATTGGTAGCAGATGAAGTTCTATCTGCAAGGCTCTGTGTAATGTAGGCTTTTGAAGGTCATTTCATACTCAACTACATGTTCATGAGCTGTACAGTCCTCCCTTGTTGGATAGAAGCAACATATTGGTAAGATTTCCTAGTAATTGTTTTGGTGAAAGTCCAGGCTTAAAAGCAACAAAACAAAACCACCCCAAAACCAAACCAAAATCAAACCAAAAAACCAAAAAACCCCGAATCTGTTGGCACTCACCTATCTTGACATTTAATCAAGTAATTCCATGCTAATGAAAGTCCAAACATAACTGTTCTGAACCACATCAAAGCAAAAAGACAGGTGTTATTTTGACGGACACATCATGCAACTGTGCAGTTTCCATTTGCCAATGCCCTGATTCCAAAAGCAGAAGACTTTGTCTCTCTAAATCCTGCTACTTGTAATAGGTTTTAAAAGAAAGGAGATGGAGGATCTTTGATTAATAGAATGAAGATCCCCTTCTCATGAGACAGAGATAATTATATTCCCCAATGCCTCTAGCTTTCTGGATTCAGTCTTTTATAACCATTCAATAAAGATCCCAAATAATTCATATATACATCTGTGTGAACCCAGGCAAAATACGTCAAAAAACATACAAGTCACATGTATGTGTCCTTAATCTCCCCCGTTCAGCATTTTAACATAAGAGCACTGCTTTTACCGTGATCGTATTGTGGCTTCATTCAACATAGTCTTACTTTTCTAGGTCATGTATCATTAAGACTGGAAATAAAATATCCAAGTTAGCAAAACGCCTTTTTAGACAGCGGAGCCTAAAGGCTTCGGCTATGCTCCAAAGATATATGGACTTTGTTTTTGTTTTTTGTCTTTTTTTTTTTTTAAACTCAACTTTCTAGAGTGACCAACTGCAGCATGTGAAGGAAAAAAAAAAAGAGAGAAAGAGAGAGAGAGAGAGAATACTGAGCTTTGGATGGATGCATCAAGAAGTAGCAACGTTTGTTACCTGCAGAGGTGTTACAAGAAATTTCATCTGCTGCAACGAAGACGAACTGATTTCTGGAAGAGAAGATAAAATTCACAATACTGCTCGCTCAGGGGGAAATGTGCTCTCTGCCAACTGGGTGAATGTATTCAGATGCGGGGAGGGAGGGGTGCTTCGTTCGAATGGATGTTGCAAGGAAATGTGTGGATAAATCTCAGACCTTGAGAGTTTAGAAAGATCGTGAAACAGGCATGCGGGGACCTCGCCAACGGAATCATGGTGATGTGAGAACGGGGGCCATGTACACACTGTTGCACCGTCATATTAATACTAAGTGTTACCAGAACGTCATGCCAGGGGATGTTGCTAAGGCTAGGGCAATTCAAACTGTGCTTGGATTTCTGTGCTAAACGGAGACTACATTTAAAGAAAATACGGACGGTCTGTTGGGGAAAAGGGGATACTAGCTATGAAAATCATAAAATTCCAGACTTTTTGTTATTGTGGTATAATATCAAAAACATTTTTCTTTAAAAGGAAAGAAAAAGAAATGCTGTCATTTCAGAAGAGAATGTTATATGGTATCATGTTATGGATAATAATTTCCTCACCAAACTAGGCTGGCTACATAAAGAAGGTAAGAGCACTCATCTGTTGGAATAAATCCTATCTTATCAAATTATTTTTAATGATGCAGTATTTAAAAGAAAATTAAAATGAAAAATGCCATTTTACTTTGATTTAGTAAATCCGGAAAGATGATAAAACTCTCTTAAGATGTTTCCAACGGTGGCATTTGCACAATGAAATGTGTTCTAATTCAGACCTACTGTTTATTTCTCCAGAAATAAGAACGTCTGTGGGAGGTAGATTATAAAAATGCCCCCAGTAAGATTGGCTAGGCTCTTAAATGTCTCAAAATCAGCAGTACAGAGTCTTCTGGTTCTCATGTGTTAGATTTTACTGTGCATATGAATCATTAAGAAGCAAGATAAATGCATTTTTTGGGTCTTAGTTTGGTCTTGTTCAAATGTTTTAACGCTTTCAAAAGTATCTAGTGATTGAGCATTTCTTAAAACATCTTAAGAAAGTTTTACTGTTGCAAGAGGTACACCCTGGAATATAAACAGAGCTACCATTGGAAAATTCACTAGAATTTAGCATCCAGTTGAAAATTCTAGCCATTTCCACACCAATGAAACCTAAACAAAATTATGCATGCTCTGAGAATAGTATTCTGTATGTTTCTCTTCCACATAACAGAAGTCAGCCAAGTTCACTCATCACCTCTCTTAAAAGACTAAAAGTTAGTGTTCCTGGATTTTTGCTGTCTTTTTGCTTGGACACAGACTTTTTGAGCCCCACCAATACCTGGCTTCAAATTTCTGAGGTTTGAGGAGCAGTACAATTAATATCCCTGAACATGAAGATGTTTGGGTTGAATATTAGTTTTGACTGGTTTACCTTTGACTTACTCAAGGGGCAGTAAGATATGGACACCCCAGTTACATGTATGAGATTGTTGGGGGGCCAAACAAGCACTTGGAAGGACTTCTGTTTATAGTATGCCCACAAGGAGAACACTACCAAGAACACTACCATAACCAAGAGTGGCCACCTGGTTTATCCAGAGGGGCAGGCTCTTTGGTATAGCCATTCTCCTATTTATGGGACGGGCCTCATTAGTTAAGTAGTTCTATCCAGTCCAGACCCTATAATTCCAGAAGACTCTGGCACCTTGCATCCCACTTCTGCATTTTCCCTAAGGAACTGTCCCACCTGCTAGACATTAAGAAAACCATGAGAGGCAACCAACAGAAGTAAAATGATGACTGAATGAACAGGGAAAACTTCTAAGAACGCAGCCTACAAGTATGTTTATAAAGATACTAGACCTTCAGTTTAATTTTACCCAGAAGTTTAGGACATACGATGGTTGTCCTTCACAGCACTGTTCCTTGGGACATGATACACTAACTCTGAAAACTAATGCTACCATTTCTCCATTCCCTTCTCCTCTCTCTCTCTCTCTCTCTCTCTCTCTCTCTCTCGGATAACCTATATATTTTGAATTTTTTAGAGTGTCTTTGTGATGCCTGCGCAAAGTTCTGAACAAAGGGGATGACTCAAGCCGACTATCAAATCGAATGTATGTCAAAGCATAAAGTTATCACCAATAATGATACCGTATGGGATAGGCCATGGCCTTTGCAGCAGTGCAAAAAAGGAATTATTAAAGAGTACTTGCAAAAAATAGTAGCCATCTGGATGTATCAATTCTACACTGATTTTTTTTTTTAATTCCACGTAAACATCCAGGAAGGTTTCCCTAACATTTCAGAAAACTGCCTTTCTATGGAGCTCATTAATTCCATGGAGTCAACTGACGTGATCAGCCCTTGCCCCACTATGCTACCCTTTCACCAACTGATTATGAGTACAATGAATAGGAAATGCCTGCAAATTATAGCCTGGGGAGGGATGTCAGGCCAACGTGGCCCACATGTGAAGCCAACAGAGGAATCTGGGTAGAGTTATAAGGGGCAGGTTTCATGGCGATGTCTCTGTCCACTATGTTATACCATTTTTATATACAGTCTGTTTCTCCCCACTTGACCTTTCAGACAAACGATCTATCTTAGCCCATAAATGGATCATATGTGACCCTCTCTGTGGAATCATTTACCCTAAATGACCAGAGAGAGGTATGATCAAAGAGATTAATGATGTAGCTGCGAAGTCAGCTCCTCCCCTAGCAAGGTCAGGACAAACTGAATAACCACAGCAGTGCAGGTACACTCTGGACAGTGGGCTCACCTCTCAGAGCAGAGAGGAGGCTGGTACGGGGCCTGACCCTTTAAGTCAATCCTAGTCTGCTCTGCACTCTCAACATAGACTGAAGAATTTAAACTTCAAAAGCAGTTGCACTTGACTTTCAGCAAACTGGTGGTAGATGATAAAGTCTGGCCAAGTAGATCTCAGCCTTGGCCGCACACGGTAAAAACACCTGGTGCCCTTCTAAAATTCTGTGGGTGGGTTTCGGACACTAGTAGTTTCCAAAGAGCTCCAGGCGTACAAGCCCAGGGTGAGGGCCACTTGTAGCTGAATGGTTCTCACCTGCCTGTTCCCTAGACTTACAAGGAGAGGTTAAAATAATGTGAATGCCTAGGCCCTTCTCCTGTGGTGCTAGACTGACTGGTGTGGGGCAGGGTGTGGAATGAGGTAGTTTAGGAGATGCTCGGCAGCTGATTCTTCTATCAGCCACAGCTGAGAAGCACTGGGTATGGCACAAATACGGAGTGGAAAGGGAGCTGAATTACTGAATTTTTTGCAGCTTTTGCTTCTTTTTGTAACTTCCATTTTGCCACCCACCATGCTAGCCTCTGAGGCGACCTAGCTATGTGGCTGCTGAGGATGTAACCACAGACACACCATGCATGGCCCAGGAATGGTCCCTCCTAGTCTCTGGAGGCCTTCTGAGAGAATGGATGTTAAACCTCCTTTTTGAAAGCAAAGCTGGTGTTCAGTGGCCACGATGTCATGCTCTATCTGCTTCCTCCCGTGTTCCTCTTCTTTCATCACCTCCCATGGGCAAACTCAAGAGCATCTCTGCTAGGTCTTTCCACTTTCCTTCTGAGTCTACATCTGATTCTCTTTACCAGTTCTTTAATCTGGAATTTTTTTTTTTTCAAGCCCTCTCTCTACCGCAGAATTTCTCAAACTTCCCTGACAACAAGATTTAGCTAGAATGCTTGCTAAAAATATATACATGTCTGGGTTTCAGCCCTGACCGCCTGAGTCAGAACTTCCAGGAGAGAGGTCTGATCATTTATACATTTGGAAAGAACCCAGGCCTGGTTATTGACCAGCTCTGGGGGCCCCATTTGCACTGTCCTAAGTGGCTGATGTTCCTGAAGAGAATCATGGTCCCAGGTAATTCGTACCATGGGGAAATTTGGGAACACTGCCGAGAAATCTCCTGCAAGTTCATTCCCATTTTCATTTCAGAGCCCCAACTTTTCCCAGGAAGACTGTTTGACAAGGGGAGGCTATGTGGGAGGAGGGAGGATTACTAATTTAAGAAAAATAATGCAATGGTTGATTACTGGGCACAAGGGAGAAGGCTACGTTTGTCTTGAGTCTTTGCAATGTTGATGCCAAGGAGCCGCTGGCCTAATGTCAATGGAGTATTTATCCATGACAGGTGGCTGCCAAGCCTTGTACCTATGCATTAAATGGTTTAATTTTCCTGACCACCCATCTTCGCATCCCAGTCTTTATAGACGAAGAGGCAGAGGCATAGCAGGTCATGGAACACACACAAGCTGGTAAGTGGTGGTGAAATCTGAACATGGTTGGGTTGGCTCAAGACCTGACTCTTACTCACTCGCTAAGATTGGGCTCAGGGGCGCCCACGTAGGGGTACTGAGTCAGCAGTGGAGGGTCACGTCTCTATGGAGGGACTTCCTGATACTGTTCTGAACCTTCATATTCCTCCCAGACAAAATAATAACAGTATTTGGATTCCCCTTGGAGTATGATGTTAATTGAGGCTTGAAAGAGAATTATATTCTGCCTTAACAACTTGGGATGTGGAATGGCATGGACCATGGTCTTTCTCTCTTTTCATTCTATTACCAGCCTTCATTATGTTTTACGACGGTTTTCACAGACCAACCATCTAGACTCTGAATCTGACTCAGCTGGTGGTACATTTAAATTAGTCCTGTGACCTGCCATAGCACCCTTATATCCCACTTTTCTTCTTAGGCTAAATCTCATCTCTCTGCAATTTTCTTTCTTCTAAATATTACCCACGGCTGAATTCTAAGAGACAAATTAAAATAGTAGCCAGCCAGTATTGCTGTAGGGAATGTGAGAAGCCTGGTTTCAAGAGAGAATAAAACTTGTGGCACGGGCAGGGGAGAGAGGAGGGAGGACGGACGGGGAATGTTCTCCCATCAGAGAGCACCG